ATAATTATTATAGAATAATTAAATTCATTGTTTTTAATATTAAGGATTTTCCACATGAAATCCCTGCAGTGAGAACAGGTACCTTCTATAACGAATATACTGTATCAAGATATTTTATTTCTTACATCAAAATTAAAAGGAAGATAACATCTCACCTCTACCTATAAACAATATAACTCCTTGTGCTCAAATGAGAAACATAAGAAATAAAAAGCAATGGATAAAGGTTGTCTAGCTAAGTAACTGATTGGTTTTTCTACATCACAGTTTTCCATCCTCATTCTCCTCTTCTCTTGCATAATTTGCACACCCTGCTTTTTGAAAGGTGGTTAAAATAAAGCAAGCAAGTTGTGTGAGTCCTTATTAAGAAAAACCCTACATCTAATTTGACTGTATTACCAGAACATTGATTTTTTTTTTATACTGAAAAGGAAAAGTTTTTGAGGCAACATATCTTTACTTCACATTTTTTACAGAATAATATTGAAAGTGAAATCTGTATTCCATTCCTAGACAGGAAGGGTGAAACCAGGTTTATTTTTATCAAATACTCTAGTAAATGGGGTCACATAAGTTATATCTGGTATTAATTTGTATGCATATGAATAGGTAAGATCCCAGTGGTTTGTAATGACTCACATCATCACCACAAGCTCTAGGGATTTGTAGAATGGCAAAGGGAAGTAAATGAATAATAACACAGCCAAAAGAGGAAGAAAAAACACTATTTATGTTAGAGAAGTGTCATTTCACAGGATGTTGCAAGTCATGCCAACTTAGTGAAAGAAAACCTGCTTTATTAGGTTTGTTGAACTGTATTCTAACAAGACTTCTAAGCAGACAGTGATACTTTTTTCCTGATATGTAAGAATGTATTTGAAGAAACTGCAGTGTGTTTTGCTCTTAGAAAAGCATGTATACCCTGCTATGTGCATTTATGTATATGTACTGAAGATGGAAAAAGGAAAGAGCAGGGTGATGTATGAAGCTGTATGTCCTGATTTGTAGTCAAAGGCCTTGTTTTGTCAAGGTTTGTTAAGTAGATGAGAATCTGATATGGACACTGTGTTTAGATTCTATGGGATTACTCTAAAGAGCACCATGCCTGCTGGAAATACAGATCAATGTGTGTTCCACTTTCCAGACAGATAATAGGTGTTATGGAAGCTTACATAGGTGAAATAAGGTAAACTAGAAATGAAACAAAAAGTAAAATGAGAATAAAAATGGACTTCCATTTATAGAGTGATCTGCTTGGAAACAACTCTAATTTTAAGATGTTCTAAGAAACACTACCAACAACTGCTGTAATAGAAGAGCGCTATGCCTATTTAAAGGTGTTTACAAAACAGAAATGAAAACATGTTGTTGGTAGTCACAAAATGCAGAAGAGTTCTAAATATCTATCCCCACAGCCACAGCAGTGTAGATCTTCCTTCCTCAGTGATACCCAGATTTATAGATAGGTTTTCAAACATCTGTGTCACAGACTATATATTTATTCTTTGGCGTGTGTGTGTGTGTGTGTGTGTGTGTGTGTGTGTGTGTGTGTGTGTGTGTGAGCGAGAGA